TCCGAGCCTTCCCCAGACTCCAGGACTGGCCCATGTTCCTCCCCAACCTCCTCACTGTTTGACTTTGCTGCCAGCTCCACAGGCCGGCGGCGGATCACAACAGGTATCTTTTTGCCGTACCAGGGGAGAGAGGCTCCCAATTGCACTGAACAATCACTAATGTGTACTAGAGACATAGGATTAGTTACATATCTGCTGGTAAAACCTGGAGAGCAGAGGGCAGAGTGATATAAGAAGATGGGAAAGTCGTACCAAACATTACAGGCAGGGCTGGGGATTTTCATATGGAGCTTTCTTTTATGTGATACTGAATTTCATTTCCTGCAACATTTACTTCGTCACCTTGATCTATTTGGTGTAGAATAGCAAAAGGCTAGGAATGATCAGGGAGCATACAATTCAGACTGAATCAGCAACTGTTCAATACTAATCAGCTCAATCCTGCTCTGATCATCGTTTGCTCTTCCTTTTCTTACCCCTCCCCCACAATCAAAAAAATCCTGCATTATTTAAGAAGATTACTTTTCTTTGCTTAATTTAGTCTGGAGTCACTTTGCTGGGAGGAGAGACAATTTTTAACAAACATTCAGCATGAAAAAGAATCCGCTGTGGCAAGGAGGTGGGGTTGGAGGGGTGGCAATTCTCCTGTTTAAAAAAGCATCACCCTACATAAGCTATAGAGTCCCAGGAAACGTTGCTTTTTCTTGCTAAGCCAGCTTTGTTTACCCTCAGCAGTTATGCAGCATTGTTAAATCATCACTTGCACTGCAGGAACCTTTGATTAGCTGGGATCATTTTAGGAAAGAGCTTTTGCTCCCCTGTCTAAAGGTGGGAGAGCAGTGAAGAGGAGGAGTAACACTTAACACAGTACTTGTATGGAAAAGGCATGGATTTGTTTCACAGCAAAGATTTGCTTTAGGGAATATTTTAGGGTATTATAATCACTCCCCCCTTTTTTCTGTGAAATTAAATCTGCCTAATGTTAGTGATAGCTTTGGTGAGAAGAAGCCAGATGATATGAAGATATCTACTGTATAATGCTTTGAGATGCTGCTAATGTTACCATTCTTTATCTGAGGAAAAGCTGCATTATTTGGAGTTTTGTATCACAGGGGGCTTTTGTTGTTGTTGATCACATAAACATGTGAACATTATTTTGTCAGTTTTCATGCATTAAATAATTTTCTGTCACTCTTTAGAGAAGAGAAAGGACAAGGCACATGAGAGAGTGTATGGATAATATCATTGTATCTATTAGTCGTTAGATGCTACCAGCCGTAAAATATACCTGGGTGTTTTTTTCCCCGTAATATACTGCTATTGTATCGAATAACACTTCTCTGAATTCTGATGCAGGTAGTCCTTAACTTACAACTGTTTACTTAGTGACCGTTCAAAGTTACAATGGCACTGAAAAAAAGTGAGTTATAACCATTTTTCACAGTCACAACCTTTGAAGCATCCCCAGGATCATGTGATCAAAATTCAGATGCTTGACAACTGCTTCATACTTATGACTGTTGCTTTGTCCCAAGGTCATGTGATCCGCTTTTGTGACCTTCTGACAAGCAAAGTCAATGGGGAAGCCAAATTCACTTAACAACCAGGTTACTAACTTATCAACTGCAGTGATTCACTTAACAACTGCGGCAAGAAAGGTCGGCAAAACTCACAATGAGTGTCTCACTTCATCACAGTAATTTTGGACTCAATTGTAATTGTAAGTTGAGGACTGCCTGGAGTTCTTCTGTGCCTTCCACAGTATGAGGAATCTAAATCAAGGCACTTGGTCTAATATAATGAAATAGAACAGGCTGACAATATTTTAAAAATAAGCCTTCCGTGCTTATTAAGATGATTGTTGTGCCATAAATGTCATGCTTTGACTATGGAAGAAAACCCACCTCTGAAGTTCTTTCAAAGAGACGGTGATCTTCAGACTGTGGCCCAGGATGTAAAGAACGGCTAATATATCTGCCCATTGGACCATCTCCCCCAATGGGCCCCCTTTTAATACACGAGGGCTGAAAACATCTCCTGATTCTTCTGTCAAGAAGCCAATGTGGATCAAAATCTAGAAAAAAGCCAGAAAAAAGAAAGAAAGAATGGGTTGAATAGGTACAAAAGAAACAGGGTTTTTAGGTGAGCAAGAAATAAATTACAAAAACAGGGCCCAAGTGAATCTCTGCGCATTACACTTACAACACCATATACAATGAACAAGCAACTAATTTAATTTTGTACCTGCTTCCGATCTCGGTGTTTTCCCTCCAGCTTCTGTTCCAGTTTATGAGAGGCCCTCAGCCATTGTGTGGCCAGATGACGGATCCGTTTCTTCATGAAGATCAAGGACTCCTTGCCACTGCCAATTAACTCCAGAAGATAGGCGAAGTCTCTCTGAAAAGCCGCCTTGGGGGATAAAAAAAACCCTATAGACTTTCTACTCATGCAAGGTTCAGTGATCTTCATAAGATCTATCACTTGGATATATGTTCTTCTTTCCATTGCCTCTTTGGGTAAGATTAAAGATACTACTGAAATGGTTTAGGACAGGGGTCAACAAACCATGGCTCTGGAGCCACATGTGGCTCTTTCATCCCTCTGCTGCAGCTCCCTGTTGCCAGTTGGCTTTACAATTGATAAGGCTTTTGGTTAGGACAGGTAGAGGAAAAAGGATGGTGCACTAGGAGGAGTCTCTATGGTGGGGGAACTGGATTTTTGGTCAGCTCCAGAATTGAAGGGAGGGGCTTCCGATAAGGACCTTTGTGGCTCTTTGAGTGTTTAAGGTTGCCGACCCCTGGTTTAGGACAATATGGTGAGCTTAGGATAGTATGCTGAGGATTATCTTGAAAGTTCATTATCAGGTACAGCCTATTGGTAGAGTGAAGTGATAAAACTACAAACTACAAGTTGTAATGTGGAATGTCCCCATTCACATTTGCAGCAACCGTGTTCTCCTCTAGGATACTGATTTGCTTTCTCACATCTTATAACCACTGATAATTGTACAATATATTTGATGACGTTTTGCTATTAGGGCTGGGTTTTCCCCACCATTTATTTATTTATTTATTAGACTTCTATACCACTTCATAAGGCTTTCAGCCCTCTCTAAGCGGTTTACAGCTTTTTAGCAAATTGAGTCAGAAAATTACCCCCACAGTGTGGGTCCTCATTTCACCCACCTCAGAAGGATTAAAGGATGAGTCAACCTTGAGCCAGTGAGATTTGAACCGCTGAACTGCAGATAACAGTCAGCTAAAGTGGCCTGCAGTACTGCACCCTAACCACTGTGCCACCTCAGCTCCTATAACTTTTATAACCATAACTTTTATTTTATAGTTCTGTATACCATACAACTGTTACCTTGATGTTATTCAGTGGTTTCATTTTGCTACTGCCTTAAGAGTACCTATGACTTGCATTCATGACCCCAATGGACTGACCACTCTATGCTCAGCAGATAACGCAAGGCCATCAGGAAAATCCAGGGACATAGGCTGGTAGATTTAAAATCATTCTAGATCATGACAAACCACTTCCAAACTATTTTCCATAAATTAGCCTGAAAGTTATCAGGAAAAGCTAAGAATAGACTTCCTTCTGTTTCAACTTTCCCATTTTTGCCATCTGATTGTCAGACAGATGTAGAGGAACTAATTCCTTCAGTTGCTACTTAGTGAAATTATAGGCAGCATCTCCTTACTCAGGCATTCCACCTACATTAACACTACTACCATACCAGGAAAAAATATAATTGGGAGGAAAATTCTCCCTATTGTACCTGATCCCATAGTAGCGTAATGGACTATGTGCTCTGATTTTACTTATGTATACTTAATGGAGAATAGAGATTGAGTGGGATGTGTGATTATACTTAGTTGTAGACAGTATAGAATCTTTTCCTAATCAATCCATCTTTATTATGGTCACAGACCAGAAATATTTTCTTTTTCTTTTCCTCCCACACATATCCCAAAATAGGAATCATTCAGGAACTACCGTTTTTCACAAACAGATGTTCTAACGTATGTTTTTTCTGCGGATGGTTGCCCATGTCCATTACTATCGAATGAGAATAGTCAAGCTGGTTTCAAAATAAAGCCACTTTGATATATAGGTCATAGCCCTGAGTCAGTCCAAGAGCAGCAAGCCTTACCTGTATCCTGGGCAATGGGTTGGAAGAAGGGGCAGCTGCTGACTGATTTCGCCAAGGCAGCACTGGGCAGAACCACTCAACTTCACTGAGGTAGATCAGGAATGAGCATTCTGTGCCATCCACACCAAAGAATGCATAGCAAGGGTCTGAAGTCCATCGAGCCCTCATCCACTGCCAGGCAAAATATTATTTTAATGATAATACAAAGGAAGATATGCAACAAGTACAAGTTCTTGTGAAGGAGATGGGGGGGAGGCAAAAATGCAACATAAGGAGAAACTTTTTGTGTCCTCTGTTCCAGGAAAAATATCCACAGAACATCTTGTGAAAGAAAATTGTGTTTAAACTAGATTAGATTCCGATATATATCTGCTGGTGTTATGTTCTTATCTAAATGCATAGGAGATGCTGCCAGAGGAGCTCAGGGTAGCTCTATCAATCCACTATTCACAAAGTATATTTTGCCTTTTATTTCAGCCAGTACTAGCAGAGGGAAAAAAAACCAACTTTATAATGGTTTGGATTAATTTCACCAGGAAAAAAAAAGAAGTATGCTGGTTAGGAAGTTTCAAAAACAGGTAGGTGAAAGATCATTGCTAGCATTAATATTCTATTGCCCAGAAAGGTAGAGCTGACAATCCTGTACTAAGAAAGAAAAAAAAAAAGAAGCATGCCCTCAAAATGTGATTTTTGCACACAGAGCAATAAGCATCGGCTCCTCTGTGTAGATCCATCATCCTCCATAATTGCTGGTGCCATCCTCTTCCAAACTTAACTACACAAATGAATCCACTCAAGAGACAGCCCTCCACTCCCAATATGTAAAACTCACCAATCATCCAGACAGGAGATAGAATTACTGCCACCCACAATTAAATCACACTTAAAATTTAACCCAGGCATGAACAAAGGCAGCAAAAATGAACGCTACTGAACTGGGAAAATCTGAGTAATGTAAAGGTTGGGTCTTGTTAATCTAACCATTAATTTATATTGTCAAATAGTTAGATTGGTAGCTGAGGTTCAGTGGGGGAGGAGATAACTAATTTTAACTTAGGGGTATGCTGTCCAGACAGCGTTGACTTCGGCTGACCTGCAGTTTTCTTGGAAATATTTCAGAAATGGTTGGCCCTTGCCTGCTTCCTAGAGCAGGGAGGTCCAAGGTTACCCAGCCAGCTCTGTGCCTAAGGCAAGACAAGAGCTCAGGGTCTCCAGGTTTCTAATCTGGCGTCTTAACTACATTACTACACCAAACTGGCTTTCTATTTTAACTTATAGTTAAACTAAAACATTGGGGTGCAGCTGTATAGTGCTGAACACATCCACATCCAGCTGTAATGATTTATAGGAATGACTTAGAAGCGGGTGGAAGAGATGCTGCCTGGGAAGCAATCAGATAAGGGGGGAGCCCACAGCTGCTTAACAGGCACAGAGGAAACTCAGAAAGGAACCCCCCCCCCCTAATTTATCAGTGTATTAAAAGTGAGGGTGGGAGATTTGTACTTCCAGGCTTGCAAGTTCCTGTTAATGTAGCCTTACAATAAAGTACTGCTGAATTAGCTCATCTGATCTGTTTCCTGTCTGCTCTACCTGGCAAGGCTAGCTAAAGTTCTGCTCTTTGTTAAAAGCACAACAAATATAAGGCATCCAAAGCTCCTTAGGCCAGAGATGACTTTCTAGATTAAAAACAAGCAAGATGATAAATTCATATTGGTGCTATTTTTGCATAGCTTGTGTGTGAATAATTAACACCTCTATGAAAGTTACATCCATCCATTAATCATGAAACACAGGGCAACTGAGCTACTGTGAATTGAGAGCAAGAAACATCTATCCTCTCCATCCCACTCTCAAATGACTATTTGTTCAGTTTTTTTTTGTTAAGCTAGCCTACATCTCTACTTGAGCCTTTTGAATATGGAGTATAGTGGAGTCTCCTATTTCAATAGCGTATTTATAAGGGGAAAGTTGGAATTCTTTTAGATGTATCTTTTGGGGATTTGCATTATCAAATGAGGGAGGAAGAGGAAAAAGGAGGAGGAGGAGGGAAAAATGTCGCATTCAGTACATTTTGAAGGTTGTTCCACATAGTCACAATATTTAGAATAATCTATTGTTTTGCATTACCTATGCCAGTTTTATTAGAAGATTTAATTTAAGAATAAGAATAAGAATAAGAATAAGAATAAGAATAAGAATAAGAATAAGAATAAGAATAAGAATAAGAATAAGAATAAGAATAAGAATAAGANAGAATAAGAATAAGAATAAGAATAAGAATAAGAATAAGAATAAGAATAAGAATAAGAATAAGAATAAGAATAAGAATAAGAAGAAACATTTCTTCAAGTTATTGGAACTTAATGGAATTTCAAATCCCTTTCTAGAATTTTCAACATTATCATTTCTATTGAGGCTAAGTTGAAATGTGTGGCACGATTCGTTCATAGCAGATGACAAATGATTTCAGCAGTCTTTGGGTGGGAGCAAAGAAAGTAAATTAATTGCAATATTTAATAGCTATTGCATTTCCTGGACTTTTGGAAATTAATGCATATCATTTTCTGCCTTTCTAGTAGGCAGAGAAAGGACATGAAATCAAGATTTAACATTAGGATCAAGGATGCAACATCAGCATGAAATCCAGAGATAAGCACATCCTGAAGAAAATCAGAAGACATTCTATCTATCAAGGGTTCTTTGGTGCTCTTTGAGCTTGGTTGTTTTCTTGCAGATGTTTTATTGCCCAAACTAGGTAACATCTTCAGTGCTAGTTTGGGTAATGAAATGTCTACAAGAAAACAACCAAGCTCAGAGTGCACCAAGGACCCCTCATTTTAACCCTGAGGTACAATATTCTCCTTTACTGATTCTTCCTACTGCACAGTTTTTGCCTGTTCAGAAAACAACACAACAAAGAGACACTGATAACCTGACAACTGCATCAAAATATATGGACTAGATAAAGAACACCTTGCCTTCTGGAGTAAACTGTCTCAATATATGGTACTAGCTTATTAGTTACCTCACCATAAAAACAATGCACAATAAGTGAAAAACATTTAGAATGATAAAACAAGAATAGTATATTTATGATGCCATCCATTAAATGTTGAAGAGGGGGGGGGTGAGGTTGCAATGATCTTTCATCCTAAAGGCCTTCATTTATAGATAACAAGGAAATGGATTTTGTGGGTATCTGACTGTTGGAAGAAATGTCCATCTGGATTCAGTTCCAAGTGGGGGGAAAGAAACATAGAAACATAGAGGCTGCTTGGAAAGAAGGTTTAATGGTAGACAGGATCGCACGTCTTGAATTCCTGAGCAAAAAGGGCAGAGATGCTGAGAGTGCCCTGGTTTTATGCTCTCTGGGTCCCACCCCAGAGTTTCCCATTCCTGTGTAAGAAATGCATTCTGATTAGTGGTCAGACTCCCAGGGGACCGGAGTCTTAGCTAACTTTGTAGGCTGTCCTGAGACCCAAGCTTGTTTGAGCCACTGGCTGATGTAATCTTCTCAGGTGCCATGTGGTGAATTTCTGTTTGCTAGATGCTGAAGAAGGTAGATCTTTGTTATATAGAATAGACTGTCTCAGGCCTTAATGGCACATTGACAAAAGGGGGTGGATGAGTTCCTGACTCCCTTTTAGGAGGAAATATTCTGCCCTTTTAATATTTCCTAAAATATTTCATTTACTAGTAGAGGGGTGGGGTTTAACTTCCTACGTGACCATAAAGCCTGGGCTAGAGTTGTGAATCCACAGCATTGGGTCTCAAACAGCTCTTGGTCGGTGCCTATGGCTTCCCTAACCCTCCATATTAGAGATAAGGGCAGCTATTGCTATCATTCCTAATTTCTCAGTAGCCCAGTGGCTACAGATCAGTTAGCATGGATACTTATGTATGTGTTTCTCAGTGTGAATGTACATGTATATGAAGTGTTCATGTGCAACTCCCAAGTCAGTTGTATGAAGCTCTAACTCTAAAAACATAACCCTTCCCCAAATCTAAAAAGACTGCCACTCCCTGCCCCATGCTTCTTCCCCACTATCACTAGTGATGTTTCTAGGTCCAAAGTATGTCTGGTGCCAACTTTACCTACTAGATAGGAGTGCTATTTCCAGGGTTTTTAAAAAAAATAAATGAAGTGATTTAATTATCACCAATACAAGCACATATAACCTAATCATGAAATAGAGCCTAGAGCCTACATTATACATAAGCAGAGGTGGGTTGCTCCCAGTTCGGCCTGGATTGGCCAAACTGGTTGTGGTGGCGGTGGGAGGCTCCGCCCACCCACCTGGATGCTTCTGCCTATATGCGAGCATGAACGCACCAGTAGTAAACTGGCTAGCAACCCACCACTGATACAAAAGGGATTAAAATATTAAAACCTTGCCTTTTGTTAGGATCAATATAATTTTTAAAACAGTAAAACAAAAGAATTTAATAAAGACAAACTAGAAATCTATGGGTCCTTTAAGAATGGTACAAACTGTGAAAGGGTGTGGGGAGTCTGAGAAAAAAATTGCTGAAGACACAGACCCAAACAATCAAAAGCCACCAGTGGGTGAGGCAGTTTATCTCAATTTAGTTCAAATGAAGAGAAATCTGGGAAGACTTAGAAAAAGAACAAGGCTGCAAAATCCAGTTTCCAATATCACTTGTAGCCAAATCAACACCACAGAATAGGCCTCAAGCTCAGGAACCAGGTGAAGGTGATAGTCTCACATCAGATCTTACTAGGGCTATTGTAGCCAAGCAGACAGTTGTCCCTCATCAATAACATCTCAAGCTTTCTTCTTCATGTGCCATGGATTATCCACACACAGCCATTTTTTCCCCCCCAGGAAAACATTTCATGCTTGACATACTAGGGTCAGTCTGCCTCTGCAGTGATCTAGTTAAGAGGGTCTGCTGAGGACGCTTCAGAAATGGTAAGAGGGGTCTCTCCCCACCATAGTAAGTATGCAGTATGGATAAGCCTATGAGTGAGAGAGCCTTAAGGCTGCATCAAAAGGTCCCTGATCCGGATCTAAACCAAAAACAGCCTCAAGTTGTGCAAAATCAGTTATCTTGAAGGGAAGTCTGTAACTGAGGCAGAATAGGAATCAGCAATGGGACAGTCAAATTCATGACAAGGTTTACAGCCAATTCAAGGATAGATGGTAGTAGAGCAGTAGTATTCAGTAATACATAAATTCTTATGATTTTGCAAACTTTAAAAAAGCATTATATATATATACATAGCCGCTCATCTCAATCCAATTGACTTTGGGCATCAAACAATATCACAATAATTAAAACCATAAAAGCACAAAAATAGTTAAAAATTTCACATATACTGCAGGCAAGTGAAAGTTTTCATAATGATTACATAAAAATTAAACAGGATCCCTAACACTTTTAGCACCCCAGGCTCTGGCACATAGCCAGATCTTTGAAGCCTTGAAAAAAGAGTAACAGGGTTAGGGTTATCTAAACCTTAGGATGCAATACACTTATACTTCAATAGAGCAGGAAGAGCTATAAAGGTAGTCCTTGATTTGCAACAGTCCATTTAGTAACCATTCAAAGTTACAATAGCACTGAAAAGTGTGACTTGAGCATTGTGGCATCCCCATGGTCACGTGATCAAAATTTGAATGTTTGGCAGCTATTTCATATTTATGACGTTGCCATATCCTGGGATCCTGGGATCACGGTTTGCAACTTTCGGACAAGCAAAGTCAATTGGGAAGCCAGATTCACGTAATAATCATGTTACTAATTTAGTAACTGCAGTGATTCACTTAACAAGGGTGGCAAGAAAGGTCGTAAAATGGGGCAAAATTCACTTAACAACTTTCTCTCTTAACAACAGAAATTTTGGGCTTGTCGTAAGACAAGGACTACCTGTATACTGCTTAACTGTCCTTTACACTTCACGGTTTTGTGTCTAACTTGAGGGAAACTTGAGAGCAATAGCAGCGCTTGAGAGCAGATTTGGTTTATTAGCATTTGTAGGCCGCCCTTTTCCCTGAGGGGACTCAGGGCGGCTCACAGAAAAATGAGATGAGATTCGTTGATTGCTATGTTGCTTCCTAGAAAAAGGTTACCTTCTCCTCAAAAGGTTTTAATTGTTGTTTTTAACTTGTCATTCAATAAGAGAGCAGATCTTCTCATGGATCCTAATTAGAATATAATTTTAAATTTTGCATACTCACCTCTACTTTTCCAGAGCAATCGGGGTACTTCGGATCTCTGGGCACTTCACATTGGTCCCGTCGGCCTTCTATGGCTGTAGGAAAAAGGGAGGGAGGGAGGTCAGAAGATGATATGAGCTGTGGTTCCCTAACAATATTTTGTATCATTGAAGCAACCAAACCACGCTGTCCTTTGAAACAGCTTGTGTTCCCCCACATCCAACACAGATGGTCTGCTAAGTGGAAGAAGGAGGGAGGAAGGGCAGAAAAATATGTCGTTTGCATTGAAATGTAAGCAAATTAAATTCATTCATATGGGTAGCAGAATTATTTATTTATTTGCTCTTCTCCAAATATTACTCTGCAGTTTTCCAATTAAAGAAACCTACAGAAATACACATACACATTTTCAGACAAGCACAAGACATTTCCTTTTAGGAAAATGATTTTTCTCTCTATAGTTAGGAGTCTTGATTTTTCTTCTAAATACTTTGAAAGCTTCATTATGAAAAATCCTTTTTACAAGAGTGACATACGTAGATGGTTTCCAATTTCTGTTTTTCCCTCCACATTTAAACCAAATAATCATGAATTATGCAAAAGCTCCAATCCCATAAAGCCCAAATTAATGTGGAAGATGATGTGGAGGGTGGAACAAGTCTTAAATGGTGAGTTTCCTTTTCTAGATGTTATTTGTCTATTCAGTATTATTAAATTGTATATACTACATCTATAAAATAGACTGAACTGGCTTTATAAATGCTAAGCTCTTACTAGAATAATTTATGATTTTTATTGGAAAGCACTTATAATTCCTTTATTAGAAATATGGCAGATAAAACTATGGGAGCATGCAGCAATCTCCAAAATACTTCAGACATGGGGGGGAAAAACAATCCCAAATTTAATTCTAGTTTTCATTTAATCTGGAAACTATGGAGTACAATCCCGTGCATGGCCATTTGCCGCATCCAAGCTTTGAATTCTACTAAAATGAGAAGTTTAAATTCTTCAATTATGTCATTTTATTTTTATAGCTAATCTAAAATTTGACATAAATAGCAGTTAAATATAACAGTTCTGAATGTGACAAAGTGTTAAATTACCATGCAATTCTCTCTGTATTTGTTTTAAATCAAGTTGAAAAATAAGAGTAAAAGTGAGATGTTTCTTCTAATGAAGTAGTTTGAATTTTCTTGTCATTATATCTGACACTACTCTGCAGTTTTCAATTTAATGTTTATTTGTAATTTCTGTGTTTTCTTTTTATTCTCTCTCTCTATTATCCATCCATCCATACATCCATACATACATCTACCATCCAGAGGTGGTATTCAGCCAGTTCTGGCAGGTTCTGGAGAACCGGTAGTGGAAATTTTGAGTAGTTCGGAAAACCGGCAAATAGGCTGGCCCCGCCCCTGCTGCCTCCCAGCCTCCCAGCTGATCTTCTTTTGTTTCCCTGAACAGGAGAACAGAGCTGGAAAGCAGGTTAGTGAGGTGGGGAGGGAATGGGGATTTTGCAGTATCCTTCCCCTGCCACGCCCACAAAGCCATGCCCACAGAACTGGTAGTAAAAATTTTTTGAATCCCACCACTATTATCATCTATTTATCATCTCTGGCTTTTACAAATTCAGAAATTCATGTAGTATCTGTCCCATCATTTTAAGACATATTTAGAACTAAAGAATACTGAATTTGTTAATTTCAGTATTCAAATTTAAGTTTGTTTTAATAGGTTTTGGTTCAGGACTCATAACTAGGTTTGGATAGAGAGACCACATATGTAACATCCTCTCTACGCAGGTAACTCTATGCTCAATGGGAAGAACAGTATAAAAATCAATGTGACTCACATGATATGTTCCACCTTGAAAGGTGCAATCTCCTGAATGTTTAAAAATCTGCTCCCTTTCATTGTCTATAACTTGCATTAAGCTTAATAGGGCAGCAGAAAGAATATTTTAAAACAAAACAAAGCTGCACTATCATTTTTAACTGCAGTGGCACCTAAATGGAGATGTAGCGAGTCTCATGGCTTCTTTTAATTTGGCTTTTTAAGCAACACAACAGATTAATGGTTGGTTCAAATTTCATTTTTAGCCATTTTGTCATCCTTTGAGGTTGCGTCTACAGGACCCTACTTTTCTAACAGCATCTTTAAAAACCCTTCAATGTGTGCAAATGACAGCAGAGATTTATGCTAATAACTAATTAACTTAGTTAATTAAGGCCATCAATGAGACAAATAATTAGGGGCACAGAAATCTTATAGATTAGATAAAATGTAAACAAATTCTATTTCCTTATGCATCAATGTCCTATACATAACTGAATGGAGAATTTGTTCATGCTTGTCTTTAGTCAGTCTTTCAGCTTTAGCCACAATCATATCTACAAGATATGAGCCGAGATGGCGCAGTGGTTAGAATGCAGTACTAGCTGCAGTTCAGCAGTTTGAATCTTACCAGCTCAAGGTTGACTCAGCCTTCCATCCTTCCCAAGTGGGTAAAATGTGGACCCAGATTGTTGAGGGCAATAGGCTAACTCTGTAAACTGCTTAGAGAGGGCTGTAAAGCACTGTAAAGTCTAAGTGTTATTGCTACCAAGAGTGCAGTTCTTTGACCAAAGACCACAGCAGGCTCTAGAACAGCTGGTTTCTTGCTCCAACATAACCAATTCCACTTTGGTAGTCAAACACAGAAGGAATCTTCCCAAACTTGACAATTCTGCACTAGGCCGCCAACCCTTTCAGGAAGGCAAGCAAAGAGGGGAACAGCAAGGAGTTGAGTCAGGAGACTCCAGGGAACATCATCAGTCCCAGCTAGGATGTGGGCTTCCACAGAAGTGGATCCATGAAGTTAGTTGTGCAACTAGACATACTGCCTGTCCCTACATAGCACATGCTTAGCACTCACCCAGAAGCTCCACTTTGGCATGATCCATTATTCATGCAAAAGCAAGCCAGCAAGACCTTTATCAACTATTTATAATGTGCTCCATTTGTTTTCATGACTAGTTTTCTGAAACCCATGCAATTATTCATGTCCCTAATGTTAAATAAGGTCATTGCTACTCAGCTTTATTAAGAATCCTATCTGCAGATTAAAGATGGATGTTAAAAACTGATATTAAGACAGCCCCCGGCTATAGTTTATTGGCTTCTTTGCATTCTCTCTTGCCTGGGGTGAGATGGGAGCCACAGCTATTTGGAGCTACTGGGTGGGCAAAGAAAATTGAGAGGGAAATTGTCAATATTTAATATTTGAGGGTCACCACACTGTAGCTTGGTTAGATAAGCAGTCATAAAGAGCTGTTGCATCTGCCACATTAATCATCATAATGAAATCCATTGGCAATTTCAAAGATTAAGTCTTTGATTCAGGAAGGCAAAGGCTTCATTTCCAAGTTTATATGATATGATAAAGAAAGCTCTAAACAGAAAAAGTGGAAGAACAAGGTGTGAGTGAAACTCTGAGTTAAACAACACCTTAGGAATCAATGGACCCTTGGATTGGAATTAATTTCCTTAAGATTCTCTATGTTCTGACCTTGGCTTCCCAAGATCATGAAGCAGACTCCTCACCCTGATAAAACCTCTTTTAATTAGGTAAAAGGGAATTCCTCTCCAGCAAAATCCCGGTTTAACAGTCTTTCATGAGATTTCACAACTATGGACTTTTATCAGGCTTGGAGAGTTGCCAGGCCGACATCCTCCAAAAGCCATGCTGTAGCAGCAATTACTTGGCAGGAAGTCAGGAACAGATCTTTACCCTAATGAATTGAACTAATTGTCTCCTGCAAACTCCACCCTTTTGCTCCTCTTTATTCCCTATGGGAAGGGCCATTTACCATCCACCTGTGCCTTTACTCCTGAGTCAGCCCTTGTTCCTTAACTGTTCCCTTCTCCTGGTAGCTCTGTGCATGCACACATCAGGAACCGCCTCAGCTGTTCTTCTGCCCCACTGATCTTCGTCTCTGAAGACAGCTGATAACTGTCGGAAGGGCACTGGCCCCATCTCTGCCTCTGACGCAGAGCACTCGTCAGAGCCTTCCCCAGCCTGGCCCATGTTCCTCCATAACCTCCTCACTGCCTGAGTCTGCTCTGCTGGCTGCTGGCGGGCCACAACACTCTATGCCCCCTTTCCCTTTCTGAAGGGGCAAAAAGTCAAAGGGAACAGATGAACCCCAGGTGACGTTTTAAACAAAAAAGCTAAAAGATCTGAATCAGGGTAGGGGAGGGGTTGAACACAACAAAAGACACCAGGTATAAAAATCTGGTTCCCATCACATATTCATTTTATATAACAACTAAGCCTTTGGTTGAATTCTGCACTAGAACTTGACATTCTCTATGGAACCCCAACTGGTGCTTCAGAGAGACAAATTACTTTTTTCTCCATGCAGCAGGGGTAACCCACAGAGAAGTTCGAGGCAAATTGGAAGTAATCTCTCAATTACAAGGGACATCTTCTAATTATTTTTTATTTATTTGATTTGTCAATTGTTTACAAGATAATAGTAGAAGAATAAACATGAGTATGAATGAATGGGTAGAAATAAATGGGGACAGTAGGACAGGGGTGGTAGGCATGATGGTGCACTTATGCATGCCCCTTACAGACCTCTTAGGAATGGGGTGAGATTAATAGTAGACAGTTTAAGGTTAAAGTTTTGGGGATTTGAAGATGTAACAACAGAGTCAGGTAGTGCATTCCAGGCATTGACCACTCTGTTGATGAAGTCATATTTTCTGTAATCAAGTTTGGAGTGGTTTACATTGAGTTTGTATCTATTGTGTGCTCTTGTGGTTGAAGCTGAAATAGTCATTACCGGTAAGATGTTATAGCAAATAATTTTGTGTACTATGCTTAAGTCCTAGGTTGTCCAAGCTCAAAATTTCAAGCCTGGTGATGTAGGGTATTCTGTTGCGAGCAGAGGAGTGGAGAACTCTTCTCGTGAAATACTTTTGGACTCATTCAATTGTATTAATGTCCGATATACAGTATGGATTCCAGACAGATGAGCTGTATTCGAGAATTGGTCTGGCAAAGGTTTTGTATGCCCTAATTAGTATACTACATACTGTATACAAGAAAAAGACTACATAACTCCCTCCGATTAAATAAGCCATCAGTAACCTGAATCAAATCCACAATTGAACTCCTGAGTCAGCTCATATTCTTGTTCTAAAGAAGGCAAATTAAAGTCCCCAAGAGTTTTAAGTCTAGGGAACTCTACCACCATTTTTTGCCACAGAGTTAAATGGCTCAGGAAGAGAAGAAGCCTCATGTCATGGATGCTGATACCTTTGCAGCGGCCTCATTTGATCTCTAAGGCTCTTTACTTTACAAATAAGGTCCCACATCCAGCAGTGCCTGGAGTAGCACTTCTGGAAGCCTTAGAACATCTTGGATGGCAATGGCAACACCTATCCCACTTCCCCAGGATCATGGCTGATGGCACACCTGAAATCCAAGAGGGCACAAGATTTGAAGGGCTTCTTATACATGATACCCAACTAAGCTTTGCAATGCACACCAAGTCAGCCCCCTTATCAGTGATTAAATCTGTGAATATTAATGCACTATCAATAAGAACCTGAAAAACTTTATTTAAGCGTAAAGAGAGACACTGGCTGGATTTATAGTGTACATAGTACTATGTGTTTACCATAGTGTATTGAATAAAGCTCAGTTGATGAGTTCAAACTTAATACTTAACATACACACATACAAAAAACACATTATGTCTTAATGTGATAGGGGAGCTCAGACATAGGCAATGAAGTTGTTGAGGCATCATTGAAAATGTGTGGGAAAGCACACTTTTCCCCCTCAAGGCCTCTCCTGAAGGCTGGATTATTCTAGAAGCTACCAAGATGCTATTCACTGCATGTGCAGGATGTTGAAAGGACTATCTGAAAAAAAATATTTTTATCAGGAAGATATTAAAGGCCACATAGTAATCCCCAGACAGATTCCTAGCTCCTTTCCTGTTAAACTTCTATCTCATAGTTAAGGCTTTTCTCTTTCAGAGGACTTTTGGGGATGGAATCAAAGGATGATGCTACCCCGAGGCTGTTGATAGACAGGATGATAATTAGTGTTCACTATTCTTGCAAGGACACGGTGGTTCAGTGGCTAAGACGCTGAGCTTGTTTTTTCAGAAAAGTTAACAGTCCAACAGTTCAAATCCCTAGCACCATGTAACAGAGTGAGTTCCCTTTACTTGTCCCAGCTTCTGCCACCCTAGCAGTTTGAAAGCACATAAAAATGCAAGTAGAAGAATAGGAACCACCTTTGGTGGGAAGGTAACAGTGTTTGATGTGCCTTCGGCGTTTAGTCATGCCGGTCACATGACCATGGAGATGTCTTTGGACAGCACTGGCTCTTCGGCTTTGAAACCAAGATGAGCACCACCCCCTAGAGTCAGGAACCACTAGCACATATGTGCAAGGGGAACCTTTACCTTTTACCTATTCTTGCAGTTTTTATATATTGCTTTAACTCTTATTTTTATTATAACAGTAACTTGTAAGCCACTCAGGATCTTTGGATTGTTGCAGTACAGAAGCTTGAGTAATAAATAAATAAGTAAACAATAAATAAGCACATAACAGAAAGGCTTCCCTGTATACTGGATTAAACACTAGTTAGTGGCTATGTTTTTGTGGGTAGGGGACCCAATTGCTACAAGTCCCAAGCTTGACAACCCACAGCTTAATACATAAGCCTGACAGGATTTCTGTGATAATTGCCCCGTTTGATTCCCATGGCAAAATAAGAAAGGCAGAGCAACTACAGTAGGTGCTGTTGATTAGCTCCGAATGAAAGTCAACCTAGAAGAAAAGACTATCACAGGCCTGGGGTATGGAGAGCGGGAACAACAACAGAAAGCAAAGTTGATGAGTCCGCATGGGATTTAAGGCACGTATTTTAATGGTTCTGTTGGGGATCATTTTCTTCAGTGGCTCAGTAGGAAACAAACAGAATCACTGTAGCATGATTTCCCCAGGATTATGGCTTTTAACATATCCATCCACTAAAAGGAGGTGATACACACAGTGAGGAATGCTGAAGAAAGAAGTAGGACGAAGGTGTCCTCGGGATATGCATCTGTTGCCAAGGGGACGGGCTCCCTCCCTCCTTCCCCTTCCTTCTACTGTGTTGCTGCTGCTGACTTAGGAGATGGCTTGGCAGTTCTAACAGTGAGGATTACAGCTCATGATGTTTGACATTCCACCTATCAATGGCATTGCAGATAGTAACTCTTCCATCCCCATCAGAGTCAAATGAGGCCAATGTTAAATGGGTCTCCTCTCCCCCCCCCCACGTACACAAAAGCTACCAAACAGAACTGAATGTGCAAACATCCATGGTGTAATTTCCACAGTTTGAAACCATGTGGAAGAAAGATTTGGTTATAAATGTTCTTTTCACTTAATTTTGCACGTTCCATTTTTCAAGTCTAGCATTAACATATGCCTATAACAACTTTGCTGTAACTATGTGTCCATTCAGTCCAACCTAGGTTGCCAAGTTTAAGATGGATTAGTGCTTCTGATCTGTACAGAATCCAAACATGAAAGATGTTAACTCTTCATTACACAGATAGTCACGGGATGGCCATGATCTTAAGCCTAATGTGAAATGTAAAGCACAAATAGCTTATAAATCATAACAATGAGAAAGACATGAACTACATTAGGAAGTAGAATGAGCAAAACAGATAATTGTCTGATAATCTATGCATGGGTATCTATGGAGAGTCTTAGTCATCCAGGGCATGGTTGTCCCAAAGATGATTTTTCAAAAGGCAACTGGACTTTGTTTTTCCTTGAAGATGTTTAGCTTCTCATCCAAGAAGCTTCTTCATTTCTGTACTGAACTGAACAAGCTTCTTGCATGAGAAGCAAAATGTCTTGAAGAAAAAACAAAATCCAGTTGCCTTTTGAAAAAGCTCCTTTGAAACTCTGTATGGATCACAGATGGGTTTCTACCGGTTCGCACCAGTTTGGGCAAACTGGTAGTGGTAATTTGGCCTGGGTTACAGAACCAGCAGTGACGCAGGCTGGCCACATCCCCAAACCAGTTCCCCGGTCTCCACCGCCATTGCAGGCATGGTTTTTATTAGCTTTTCATGGTCTTTGCGCATGCACAGAATTAACAGTGAACTGTGCATGTGTCTGGTGTGCATGCACAAAACAAACTGGTACCAATTCCAGTAGGAATCCACCCCTGGTATGGATATAGGAGGAAAGTAGAGGTGTGTTATATCGACCAGAAAAGAATAGAGGATCTAAGTAAGTGTTTCCTTCCACAAAAGGCCAAATTGCTTTCTTCTCATGTAACTCTACTGAGTGGAGAAAGTTTCACTGATGGCTTAGCTGGTTGAGTGGATACTTAGAAAGTAGGTTTGGTTTGGTTTAACTTTATATGCAGCTTATCTAAGAGGTTATAAAAAGGGTACAGGGTTGCGTATTTGTCCATGCTAATTCCTCTCTAAAGATGTGGGCATAAATACCCTGAGTAGATACAGAAGACATGTCATCACAGTTGGAAAAACTGTGGCAGGTCTGTTTGCTGCTGATAGGCATTCTCAAGTCATCATGTTCCTTTCCACCGTTGACCAGAACGTTTTTCGCATAGAGAATTGTCTTCTTGATTATAGCACTCACATTCTACTGTATATCTAATCCACTATTTTAAATCATGTCCCCTAGGATGCAACAGTACGTAGTACAAGACATGGCAGATTTCCTCCATGTCAGACTATTGTACCTTAATGCTTAACCAGAGTTTGGGGTGAGGGAAAAAAGGTACCTTGGATCTACACAGAAGCACTATAGCATGATAGACTCAGATTCAGTTCCTTGGGTATACTGCATAGCTCCATATCTATACTGGCTCCAGACTATTCTTTTCACACCTGAAGGTGTCCTTACATTTTCCATTTAGGAGACTGTTGCGAAGAATCTGATCCACCTTCATTGCGATGTCTGAGACATTCTGAGCAATTGCTTGAATCCTCTCCATCAGACCAGCTGCTGGATGGAACCTAGGAAAAGGGAAAAATATATATAATACATGTTTCATTTTTGATGGGCATCTCAGCTTATCAATAACAGTGGTGAAGATACTCTGCTCCTGAAGCAATAGTTCTTCAAAGCAGAAAAGGCAACTACCAGAAAAGAACAACACTGAGAACCAAAAAGATGTTGGACCCAAGAGAGATAGATCTAATTTTTCATAATTATAGGGAGTCTTATTTTTGGAGGACAGGACAATGGGCAGTTTCTTTCTAGCCTTGCCCTCATCTTCTCCAAATGCTCTTTTTTCCTCTTTGACCAATCTTATTTCTGAATTGCTTTCTCCCACACCCCACTTGAATACACTTAAAGCTACTTCAAACAAACCTAAGAAAAAGTAAAATTCAAAACTTTGTGCCTGCAAATACATATGTTCTCTGGTACACTTGTCAGGAAGATGTGACCATATTGACTGTGTAGCCAATAAATTCATAGTAGCAAAAATGAATTGGCTTCTATGTAATGTGAAACTCGCTTGCCACCCCAAAGAAAGATCAGCCTATCAGCTGTTTCAGAATGGGCCATATTCCGATGGCAAGCTAAGCCAGAATTCTGTTCACAATTTGTTTGCATTGAAGCTTCCTAGAGATAAGCACATTTCAATGTCTTGTTGCCAGTTTGTTTTAGGCTCACAGAGTTTATGATATGTTCCCTTTATTAATTCAAAGTAACTTTTGTATCCCACTCTTTGGTCACATACACTGCAACATTTCAATGTAGCATCTGGTTTATATCTTTGGACCAGATCTATAAACAATTGTTGCTGATTACATACCATCCTTCATTTTAATGAAAAGGAAACACAAGCTATTAACTCAATACTGCAAGCAATGGTTTTGCATTAAATCCGGTGGCCTCAAGCTTGTATTAATTTCATTGCACATTGTATTTCCAATCTGCATATTAGAGGTATTTATTGCTGCCTCACACATTGTTTGGTCTCTTCAGTTTGATTTAAAAATAAATCTTTTTTCATCTGTAGAGAACATCCACCAACACTTGCCCACTTTCTTTTATTTGCAGCAAGTTTTTTTTTAAGTTCACCACATAACACTTTACATCCACTTCTACATAACACTTTGCATCCATTTCTTCACTGGCAGAACATCCACAGGGAGAGTAAAAAAAAATACCAAGATGGTGGCTGAAACTATTGTCACATGGTCTTGACTGCCATCTTGATTTTTCCAATATGCACAAATGTGTGTGTGTGTGTGTGTGCATGTACACACACACACACACACACACACACACACATCCATATACACCCCTCTGGTAGGTGCTATGCTTTCTCTAGAAGAAGGCATGTTTTGTTTGCATTTGCAGAGCAGTGAAGTAAGATTCCTGTTCTTTATTTCAGGCCACTTCTAATATTAGACTATATGCTCCACTGGTCTCAGTAAAGATAATGGTTCACGTAGCTTAACAATGATCTTACAACTGTTATAGATCCAACAATATTTCCCATGGAATTTCACATGAATCTCAAAATAGCATGAACTGGTTGTTTTGATCTGAAATAGATGTCTGCATCTCAGCAAGGTGGATTCAGGAGTGAGGAACCATTGAGATAATTACAAAGTCATATAATTAAGACTGCAGCTTTTACTTCAGCACAAGGGGGTTTAGAAATAGCAAATTTAACCAATTCAGCAGAATCATTCAATATTTGTAAAGAGACTCTGGGGGCTAGTTAAAGTGAAACTTTATTTATGTTTTACTCACAAATATCCCATTGTTTACAGGGGCTTGCTGCAGGATAACTGGGTGATTCCCCCTCCCCCCATTGTTCTTTCAGAGTGTAATAGGAAAAAAGAGAGTTCAAACTGAATAGTTAAAAATTATTTATTTCACTATATCTTAAAATTAAATGATGAGTGATTTGTTAAAAAAAAAAGGTGGCATCCTAACAGTAAATCTTAGGGCAATTGTGCCATTTTTAATTTGCCAAATGCAACACTAATGAAATGATGGATATTTCTTCAAAAGGCTGCAAGCCTACTTGCCACATTTTCAGGGTACAGGGCTCACTGAACACAATTTACAATAAACAGTCCTAAGTAGGAGTGCATGCTAAGTATTGTAGCAACCACAGCTGGGAATCTTATACGACATGTAAATGAGGAAGCATACATTTGCATTTTAGAACAAAGTCAAACTGGGATAATTTTTATTCTTCTCTCCATTATTGTTTCTATTCCTTTCTTTTTTATATAATTCAGGGCTTTATTGTTATTATTACAGATAGCAATATTTCATATCATGGGTATACATTTTGGGATTGGAGGGCAAAATGGCACATAATCCTCATGGAATGAGCATCCTTTCAGGACTGGGCTGCCAAGCCAACATACCTACAAGCACCAATCGGACAAAACACTTTTGGGGTAGTTAAGACACTCTCAGTTTCATTGAGAAGTTATGTCTGCCAGTTCTCCATACAGCACTAAGAGCTAATTTGGTCAAGGGGTTTTAGGCACCAGGCTAGAAAGCAAGAGACTGTGAGTTCACATCCCACCTTAGCTGTGAAAGACAGCTGGGTATCCTTGGGTCAGTCGCTCTCTCTCACCTCACAGAATTGTTGTGGAGAAAATAGGAGGAGGAAGATACGTTGTATATGTTCACCACTGTGAGTTATTTGTAAAAACAATAAAGGCAGGATAAACTAACTAAAATAATCATTTCTGTAATTTTCACTTTTCACCAGTTGTATGAATGTCGTTTTCTTTTTAAAAAAAACAAAAACTAGTAGTTGACTAGAGCACATTCCTATCCTAACCCTCAACCCACAGAAATTAACCATTGCAGAATAAGTGCCTTGAAACATTGTGCTGAAATTCAATAATGGGAAAACACAAAGGTTTTCTCGCTCCCTCCTTTGGCAATATCAGCCTGCAATGCCAAAAAATTAAAAGGCCTGTAGAGGGATTATTTTGGGGTTTCAGTGAAAGGGAGGAATTGATGAGTTGGAGCAACCTGGGTCAGTTCATCCTAGCTTCTTGCCTTGGAGACATTTCTCAGTTGATATAGAAGATTTGCGTAGAGGAGAGAGAAAATAACTTACTGTCTGAGGAAAGGAATAAATTTGCACCTTCTCTCCTCTTGTTATGTTGGCATGGGACTCTTTCTTCAGATCAAATCCCATGTTATATAATTCTTTACTTCAAAACTTGCTATTAGTGCCCAGAATTTGCTGACAGAGGTGATAGCAGGGCTACAAGGTAAACCTAAGCTTGCCTTTTGCTCAATGTCTATGAAGGTTCTCAATCATCCAGGTCATGGTTGTCCTAAAGGTTTTGCTTCTCATCCAAGAAGCTTCTTCAGTTCTAACACAGTACTAAGAAGTTTCTTGGATGAGAAGCAAAACATTTTCAAGGGGGAAAAAAACAATGAAGACCAGTTGCCTTTCAGAAAAAAAGACCTTTGGGGGGAAAGGCCTGTTGCTCCTAATATCATCGAATAGAAATGTTGTTGGGCTGGTGGTTTTTTTGCTTCCAATTTGCTTTCACTTCTACTTTAACACCGAAAATCCTTTTGGCATCTTTAATATATATAGAAACTGGGGGGGGGGGGGGGGGGGAGGATGACGACAACTCTCCCAACACTGTACTTAGGATGTCTCAATTTCCATAATATCGAAAGCATTAGACAATTATTACAATTCATATAACCAACTTAATTGACTGTCACATATATAGTTAGCCTGAAGGCAGCTTTTCAGAATCAGAACTTGGACTATTATGTTCCTGGGCATCTCATGAACCAGCAGAAATGGTCTCTGTCCCATCAAGCTAAATGCAGCTCATCAACCATATATTGTGGGTTGCCCAGTATTTTTCTTCCTAGGTTAGCATTTGTCATTCCATAAGGCAGCAATACAAGGAGATTCATTTTTTCCCATGTATTGACCATCATACAAGGCTGACAGGTTGCATGGTAGGTCACAAGCACTGCATCCTCTTCTATTTCCTGTGACAGGAAAAATTTCAATAAATAAGTGCATATAGAAGACCTGTAACAGATTCCCATTCATCTCAGCTTTATAAACTTCAAATAAAGCTAAAGGAGAGGGAAATAGTACATGGAAAAAGACAAAGGCCAAACAACTCTTGCAAGTTATTCCTTATTGATATACAGAGTCAGCCAATGTGAAACAAGACATCTACAATATGGATTTCAATCAAGGTGGATCTCTTAGCATATAGAAAATTAATAGGATGTGGTGGAATGTATTGGGCTGGATTCCCAGGAGGAAGGGGGTATATTCTAGAGGAATAAGAGACAGCTGAGTCCAAATATTTTATGTGAGAGAAAGAGGGTAAAGACAGCCCCACCCTAACAGTTTTCAGAATATATGCTGGATGCCGACAGTAGAGTGCTTCAGTTTGGCAGATTCTGTCTATAAGTATAGAAAAATAAACAAACCTGCTTGGAAGAATCACAACTGTCTTTCTTTGATTTGGGTCCTGATATAGGATCACTGTCTGAACCTACAGGATATTCAGCCTTTCCTGCAACTTTTCCACAGCATTGCCCTAATTTGCCCAAGCGTTTTCATTTTTTATTTGTATGTTTTTATTTCCTTTTTTTTACTTATGTTGCATAAGTTCAACAAACTGGGATGGATTTGAATTTTACAAATGTCGTTGGTTGGACTACTGTAAAACTATAACAGGAATTGCTCTAAACATTGGAATATCTAACAGTTCCACAAAGAAGCGATGAATAGACAGTAAATGAATTTGGACATGCATAGTGCCATAAATATCTAAAAAGATGCACTTCCCCCTACACAACAGAGGTGGGTTGTTCCAGGTTCGGCCCAGATCAGGCAAACCGGTAGTAGCAGCAGCAGGAGGCTCTGCCCACCCGCCCGGACGCTTCTGCACATGCGCAGAAGTGTTGCGCGCACCCGAACCAGTAGTAAAAAAACTGGCAACCTACCACTGCTAAAAAAGTGTTAATGGCA